TCTAACTCATCACATCTAAAAACTCAAATTAAAAAAAGGAGCTTGCTCAGGAACCCTCTCTCTGTCCAGTTACTAAACTAATATAAGCATTTAAGAAGAGATCTAAATACCCAGGAAAAAGGGCGCCATATTCCAAACAATTGCCTTAATTATTGTTTAGGGGGCAGCAAACTATATAGCCGTAGAGCCTATCTAGTAGATATTCAACACATACATACCTTGGTCTCAGAAATCTGTCCTCTGACTACTTAAAATCTTGTTGACAATATGTATTTCCAAAGTATAAAATGGAATTTGCTGGGAAAAAAGAATATATACCTGGCCTAAGCCTTTCTGAAATTTATAAGCACCTTTTTCTCCTGGAACACCCCTATAACAGCTATTCTTTGGTGTCTGTAATAGAAGAAACATACTGCCAGCAACATAATCAGAAAGTCTCTCAAATTCTGGGGACTAAATATGAGAAGTCGCTTGATGCTACTAAAAACACACCTAATACTGGCGCTTTCTAAATTTCTTTTACAAAAACTAACTTCCGTTTTTGAAACAAATGACAAAAAACTTTTGCAATTGGCAGAGTCACTACTAATTTCGGTTATTTACTCTCTACAAGGACAGAAGCACCTTCCCTTCACCAGCTGGTGATGCCCTAAAATTTACATGTTAAGATCCATGGATATATTTAGGTCCTACATGCAATTTTTTCTGTTCATCCTGTCATTGCTGGCTTTGCAATTGATTGGTACCAATCTCGATGTTCTGCCTTTTTGATATAAATGCTAATCATATACTTCTCACTACCTTCCTTGATGCAAATCTGGCAAGGACCCCAGAATCCAGTTGACTGCAATCTCAGCAACTAGGAGGAGGGAGCAAGGGGGCTGAGGACTTTTCCTTTTGTTCAGTTTAGGAAATGAGAACTGTATGGCGTGCTGGCTCACATACATAGGTTAATGGTCTGACCACCAAATACCTGAGAGTATTCTTGCTCTATCAGCTTTGGGAACTGAAAATTGAATAAGCAGCAATAATGAAGTTCTTTTTCACTCCCCTGCTATCTCTTCTTGTCATTGCATATGATGACTTTCAGAAGTCAGTAACTTTCTACTACTTGTGTACAAAATGTGAAATGAGGTGTTTACCCTCTGCCCATGACACTCCAAAGAGTGGAAGTGGACCAAATCCCAAAAATACTTGACAATCAGTCACAGAAAACCAGCATTTCCATGGTACAAAACCGATCAGGAATGAAGCCATACAGTTATTTAACATAAAAAGCCCATTTTCCTTCAGTTTAGGAATAATATTAAAGGCCTTACACAAAACAAATTCCAGGATTCAGAATACACACAACATTTTATAACTTGATTTTTTATGGACTCCACTATTCACACAAGCTCATCATTGACAAGTTTGCATCCTTTATATTCCTTATTTTATTTGGAGAATACATCTGTTGACCAAAATGCCCTTAACTAACTGCTTCATCTATGTTCTTTCTCTTCTAACACACATTCCAGTTATTTATTTCCTGTCAACCACAATACATGGGTTGAAAACCATGCAGGTGGAAAAATTCAAACAGGGTAATGCTCACTTTAATTTAGGATCAAAGAATTTATCAACTCAGAAGTAAAATTATCAGGAACATTCTACTTTGGCTTCAAATACAATAGCTATTAGCTAGCTTTTCCATTTTCCATTAAAAAAATATATAAAACATTCAAAATTGAGGGAAAAATAAAGAAATTCAAAAGAGCAATATTTAGGGATGTACAGAAAGATCAAATCTGAAGCCTACTCAGAAGTTTACTTGGTAGCACTGGAATCGATTTTCATTTGACTTCTCAGAGAAAACAGTAACTAACATTTTGTTCATCTTCATGCCTTACAATGACTTTTCTTGCAACATAAGCCCATACAGCTACCACCTCATCAAAAGGCAATTCAGTCTTTGCAACTCTGAAAAATATCCTCTGCAGTAAAATACAGCTTCTTTGCAACAATATAAGGAAGAAATTCTTTACTGTGAGAGGGTGCTGAGGCACTGGAACAGGTTGCCCAAAGAAGTGGTAAATGCTCCACCCCTGGCAGTGTTCAAAACCAGATTGGACAGGGTTTGGAGCAACCTGGTCTAGTGAGAGATGTTCCTGCCCGTGGCAGGGGGTTGGAATTAGATGAGCTTAAGGTCCTTTCCAACACTAATAATTCAATGATTTATTTGCATGGTAAGAATAAATTCTTTAAAATCAGCAAAAGCTGACTAAAGATGCCTAAACTCGCTGCCACCAGAATGGTACTTCCAAAGACTATGTAAAAGCAATAGCAGTATTTCCAGCTTTGCCTGGAACAAATCCTAGGAAAAGAGTGGGGTTTTTTTCCACAGCATTATATATGGCATATTATAATAGAATCATGAAAGGACTACAAACTGCTGTACCTGACTGAATATATAAGCATTTGTAGAGCAGTTTGGGTAAAAAGCAGTACAGGAAAATGAGTCAAGGATTGTGGAAAAAGAGCCAGAAGAAATAAATCTCCAGCTCTCTATACAAGCAAGAATGATCACATCAGCAGTATTCTGGCAAGAATTTTCTCATGTGTGAATGGTTAGGGAGAAGGGAAGAAGACATCCAATGCTTCTTTCATTCTCATAGAACTCAGGCATCTAAATTCATCTGAACTTTCTGAGTGAAATATTTTATGACAAATATTCACAAAGAGAACACAACCAACACGTCCCTTTTATACAGTGATTGGATGTTAATAAGAAGCAAAGAAGTGGACAGTGGCTGCTGCAAATCTCTCTCTTGTACCCACCAGACTCAAGGGGAAAATTTCACTCTCTGGAAAAAAGGTCTAAGGGACTGCTCACGGATGCACTGCTACACCACTCTTCTCAAAACCCACTTACCATTACACGATATAAACTTATAAGTTTGAAGGGGTTTAATATGTTGGCTTTCACTTTAAAATACAAGTGAAGTTACACACTGATCTGTAAGTGAGTGTGATCTACAGATGTATGAGACCTGAGAATCTATGCAAGGGAGCAAATATTCTATGGGATTCAGACTGCTAAGTTGTGATTCAATGGATTCATTTTGGAACTCTGTACCTCTTGGAACTTAGTGACACAACTGGCACTTTGTGAAAAGCAAAAAATGTTGATGAACTGCAGAAAATGTTAAGTTATGCAGTAAAAGTTCATCCTATCCCATTTTTGGTATATTTCCTTCAAAATTATCATTGAGACATGACAATTAATTTTCATGAGTAGGGTCCTTATCTGCAGAAAATGTTAAGTTATGCAGTAAAAGTGCATCCTATCCCATTTTTGGCATATTTCCTTCAAAATTATCATTGCGACATGACAATTAATTTTCATGAGTAGGGTCTTTACTCCTTATGATTCCATCTTCCACAGGTCAAATTTGGAAACACTTCCTTCACTAATGCCTTCCTATTTCTTGTAATTCAATCCAGCCTTTAGTCCTCAGCCTTATTAATCTATTCTTTAATGCCTCTTAATCATTCCTCCGTGCTCTGCTTCTACTGCAGCAGTCAACTGATGCTTTATTGAGCAATACAGTCTCCTCCATTTTTTCCCATTTCACATTTTCATAGTCAAGCTTCATCAATGTTCTTGTGCATTTCACTATAAAGCAGTGATTTCTGTAAACTACTCTTCCCCTGATTATATTCCCCAAAAGCTAAAGTTGGTTTAGTTTAACGTTTCACCACAAAGCATGGATGCAAAATCAGCATTTGTTTGTATTTTTTCCTACGGCTTGAAAAATAGTTGTAACATGTTACTTGTAGGTTTCAAGTTTGGGGCTGGGTTGTGGGTTTTTTTCCATTTCAGTGATGTTGGCAAAAAATATCATCTTCAGAAGACAGAAAATTCTAAATCAATTTTGATTTGTACTACAGGGGATTATTTTAAAACCCACATTGTGCTAAATCTGCCTATCACTCAGCATATACACCAATGCATGAATCCTGTGAAGGTGCACTGAGTCAAACCGAGCATGTATCTGCACCACTACAGAACCAAGGATGAAAGCACAACAGGATCCACAAGAGCTTACTGTTAAATAAAATTAGTAATGAGAGACATCATATAAAAAATGCTAAAGATTGTTTTACAAAAGAAGTTTGGAGAAAAAGAAGAGATGGCAAATGCAGCAACAAGCTGAAGAAGTTCTATCTCAATTCCCTGTAGAACAAGTTCTACCTTTAAAGTATTTTTAAGGATTTGTTTTCTTCCCTATTCTGAACAAAAGTGGATTTTGGCAATGGACAAGGCATATGTGAATAGAACATGAACCACAAGATATCTTTGAGACATTTTCAAGACTTCAGCTGCTTTTCCTGCTTGGTTTCAACATGCATGTTTTGAAAGTTAGAGAGAAATCTGTTACCAGACTATACGTCTTGTACGTCAGTGAGGTCTACAGGTTTAAAAAGCCTAGCTGAAGGCATTTTCTCTTCATCATCACCTTATGGGTTTCTTTTTCTTTTTAGATGGACTTTATGCATTAAAAGGGAGATCAATCCTTGTCTTATTAGAGAGAAAGCTAGCTTAATTTTAGCTCGATTTTAGGCTCATATTACTGCCTGAATATTCAAAATCTATTATTAATTTTAAGACAGTATCAAGACCTTCAAAAACACTCAAGACCTGGATGTTATAACATCACTTAGTGCACGGGTACCTGTTAGTACCCCCAAATTAGTACTTACTTCTGACAATTCATACAGCATCTTTTCTGTCTATTGCTGACACAGGTGAAGAACTCTTCAACAATACATCTCAAATTGCTCTTAGCGTTTTCTCAGCTTTCAGACTCCAATGTAAGTCAATTATCATTTTGGAAAGGCTGAACTTAAGCATTTTCATTAAAGTAGTCATCATCTAAATACACTGTAAAATCTTACTGCTGTCTACCCAACTGATTAAAATGTTTTGTCGCTTTTCTGTATTGAGGTTTACTTACATTATCACACTGAAGGCTCTTATTTTTGGTGCCTGTTGCATAACAGTCACAGGGTTTGCAAACATCAATGGCTGAAAGATCTGCACCTGCTTGTCTGTAATGGAAATCCTTGCACAGCTCACAGTTCCTTCCTGCATGAAAGAAAGGTTATGCATTATGACTTCCAATTCATTAAGATTAGCTGTATAATTCAAAATTAAAGACTATTCCTTTGAGAGAATTCTATAATTTTCAGGACGTCCGTTTTAATGCACCTTTCATCTCTACCTGCCAATTTAGTGATCCAGAGCATATGAAACAATGAACCTGTTACAAACTATGTTTTACTCCATTAAACTTCCATCTGTTATATAATACCACACTTATATAAAAGCTGTGCCATGCAAATGCCTATACATTTTTTGGAAAAATTATCACTGAACCTGAAATTTTTCTTTTTTTCCCCTTTACTAGACAAAGCCAAGAAAACTGAAATAGAAAAGAATGATTAAAAACTATTCAATATGCTACTTAACACAGAATAGAAACCTTTAGTCAATGAGGAAGCAACTGACATTAGAGTAAAATTCAAGAACATTTTTAGGATGTTATCAATTACAAAGATGACATTCTGTATTTAAACACCCCAGCACGTGTAATGGGAACAGCTTTGAAACTTCACATTCTAATTCTTTATTAGAATGCCTTTTGAGTGGAAGATCTTACAGAAGATTGGATCAAATTTTAGCTGTATCTTCCTCTAGCTTAAGAATGGACATGATTGTAATTACTGCACTATCTGGATAGCTTAAAAATACACATACAGGAGAATTTATTGGAATGTCAGCCATTGAGGATTACTAATTTCAGCTGACACAAAACTTAGCCAAAAAATTACTGTAAAATAAACCATCCATTCTCTCTTGCGTGACTCACCGGCAGTGTTATGTTGACAGTTATCACACACACCTCCACCGCCTCTGTAGTGTTCCTGAGGAAAAGGGTCCATTGCCAAGTCATAGTGGCAGCTTACTGCATGGCTGTAGCATTGACAAGGTTTGCAATTATAGGCATGAACTTGGTCACCTGGACGAAAAGGTTTGTCGTTGTACAACGGCAAACAGTGGTCACACTGGAGGAGAACAAAACAAAACAACCTAGTTCTTTACCTTCCAAGAACACCATTCTACTCTCTTTATAGTCATGTTCTGTTCTATGTGTTTTCCCCCATCTAAATATTAATGATATTGAGGTTTAGACAAGTGAGAAAGAATATAGAAAAATAACAAAACAATCTATTTTTTCATCTTTTTAAGTTACTTTAACAACAGATTAGAATCAAGGAAGGTGGCCAGAAGAATAACATTTTAAGTATTTAGGTACTCGACACAGGCAAGCATCCCGAGATTCAGATATAGTTAAACCTCCAAAGATGCAAAATGGCACCTACAGTGTTTGAGGCACAGACGACATATTCGCCCAATGCATCCATTTGGATGTATTTTAAACAATGATTTAGTTTGTTCAGTTACCATTTGACCTTGTGAGTGAAACAAAATACCTCCTACGGCCAAATATGTGATGCTGAACAGAGTATCTAAAACATCAGCAATGTTAAATGTGCATTTATCTCATAAAATTTTCAAGAAAGAAGTTTTAAACAAAACCCACAAATCTCTACACATATTCAGCTCTGTCAAGTTATATTTTAAATGACACTAATGAATAATAGCATAAAAGGTCCAGTGTTTAAAGAGACACCTAAACAAAACTATCTCGTTTTCTTCTTTTCATATTTATCAGATACAAAGATTAATGATATTCAAGTACTTCATTAGCTTAAATCCAAACCAGTAAAAGGATTTTTCAGTAGTTGAGGAGCAAGCCAGGACCTCATCTTTTATTTGGATGAACTCACAATATTACCTGCTAAGGAGAGCTTTATGAAGAATGTGAAGTTGGAATAATCTTCAGTTCATAATACACTCTATTCAAGAAGGAAATATAGTGTGCGTACTTGTTCATCAGGAACTAAAAACAAATTGGATTTCTTAATGAATGGATAGCATTTTGGCCAGTTACATTCTCTTTATGGTGAAGAATCCAACTAGTTTTTATGAAATTGACTCAAAAAGTTGTACATGTTGGCACTGGAGACATGTTTGTTTAGATTGTTTTTAATTTAAGCAGCATTAGTGAAACTCCATTCCCAAAACAGTGGTGCCTTCCTGGATCTAAGAAACAAAATACATTGCACTTGTCATTTCCATCTTCCAGAAGGAATTCAAATGCTTAACATAAGTTGCTTCTGTAAAGTATTTGGGCAACTTCTTTCTTCTTAAGTTCCAGAAGTGTGCTTATCTTTCTTCATGGCTATTATTCCAAGCACTATTACAATTATTTAGGCCCAGTGTGCCTACATCACCCATATGCTGACAATTACGGAACTATACTGAAGTTTCTAAGCACTTTCACTTACAGCTGATGCTGGGAAAGCATCAACTGTGGGTAATATGTGAAAGTGAATTAGCAAAAAAGCTTAAGAGTGTCCAAGAATTGCAGAACAGTCACAGTTCATCACAAAAGCCACCATGGGAAAGAAAACAAAAGCGTAAGAATTTATCTGCTGAAATCTAGTTTTAATAAATGAAATTAGCAGTAAGAAGGGTAAGATAATAATAGTCACTGCACCTTTTTGCAATCTGTTAAAAACAACACAACAAAACCCCACAACATTACCACAGTGAGAGAAAAAAAGGAGGTTTCAGGTTGAAAATTAGCAGGGCTTTGCTTGAGACTTTCAATTCTGACCTTTGATTATCAGAAGAATCACTGCCTAATTGTGATATAACCCAGTTTAAGTACACTGAGGGGAACACCTTGACCTAACTGTTACACAAGTTACACAGGTTAAACTTGTTCATGTCCTTCCTTCATTCACAACTATCTTTCCTCTCTCTAGTCATTCCCTTTGTCTGTACTTTGAGGAAAATCAGCATTACACAGCACCACCAACATGAAACGATGGGGTTCATTCAGGCATTGCACAACTTGGGAAGCACAAGCAAGAAACCCTAGCTCCCATCCAAACTATCCCACTCATGTGGCTTCCTCCTTGCAGAATATCTAAGGAATTATGTCCTCCTTGAAAAGCAAACAGTACAGAAACAGCTACCAACCTGTCAGCCCTGAATTTCCAATTGTATGCAGTCAAAACGTGCACTGGACCTCCATCCGCCTCACCCTGCTGAGTTTGTCACACCTTTATTAGGCTAAGAATTGCATTTCACTTCAAGACCTGGTGTGTTTAACCGTCACTTTTGGTAGCAGGACGGTGTACAGATGGCAATCTTGATGTCTTAATTGATCAAACGTAAACTCTGCTTTTGTTCAAAGCAAAATTGTTGAGATTTTCAAAGGTATTAAGAGATTCAGTTTCAATTCCTGGCTACCACATATAAAACAGATGGGTAACTTCCCCAAAAGCCTGTGGCAAATCTGAAGGCTAGCAACAAATTTACAAAGAACATTAATTCTTGACAAACAAGCCTTCCTCCACAACTGTAAAACCTACAAACATGCAGATGCCCTTATTCTCAGTTACATCTAGGCCCTTCAGAGAACATGGTAAATATAAGATTTTTACCTATGGACAATACCAAACATGTCCACTTGCTATACAGTACCTGAACCACTCACCTCCTCTGATAAGAGTTTCCTGAGAAAATCTTACATAGAGCAGGATGATCGAATTACCTACCTCATCTTGGCCCAATTCCTTAGTCTAAAATTAAGACTAAAACCTTATTTCCGATAATTGATTCAAGTTTTGGGTTTTTTACTACAATTACCATTAAAAGCTTACCTTCTCAAAATTCCTGTATCCAGCACTTATGGGAAGTTCACCAGTGACTTCAGCCTAAGCCTGTATGTGCCAAGTTCCTTATTAGTCACTAAGAATGCTGAGAACAGTGCCTCTGAAGAAACAGTCCACAAATATTCGAAGAAAGACTTCAGAAGGCAACACTAACAAGACTTGTAATAACTAGAACCTTCTAGTGCAACACTTTCCAAATATCCCACTGCATGCCTCTGGGTGGCATCCTTCTTTTCTTGATGTTCTTACATAGGATTTATTCTCTCTCTTTTCCTAACCTGTGTAGGAGTTCCCATCTCTCACCTCCCAGTCAAAGTTCAGCTGCAATAACCAGTGCATATACACACACCTATAATACTTACAGAAGCACATGTATAATGTACTGCATGTGTTATTAACAGTACACAGATTTTACAATCTGCTGAAGTGGTATCAAGATCAGAATGCCACTTTCTCAAGCATTTTGGAATGCTGCCTTGTCTTTGCAAAACTCTATTCTGTGCATCACCCAACCATGTTTGTTTATGCTGCCCTGTAAGTGTTGACTATAATAGGATAGTTAATCACACACTATTTTTCCCTTCCTACAAGGTCCCAGTCTGTACCCAAATGGACAGTATGCATTCACTGCATTTAGCTTCATTAGCCAAACAAATGTGGCTTCTAGGCAATAGCTATTCCAGTGCAGCTTAGTCCTGCTCTGAAGGCAGTCACCTTAATTTCCCCATGGCTTTTCCTCAGCACCCTCCCTACAGCATTTGACTATCTATCAAGACTACATGTTAGCAGAGGTTTGAACCATATCTGCTTCTTGTGAACTCCCCAAAGACCAAACAGGTTTTAAACTTAAAAAACAGGTCTTATTAGGAAAAACAAAACAAAATAAAAAACCCTAGAACATTCTAAGTGATCCCAAGTGGTTAAGAAAAACAGAATAGAAGAGTGTCTTATGTGGTTCCATCATAATACTTTGTGTAACTTTAAAAGGATGCAACATCATTTCAGAAACTAAGCACAGACATTGCAGGTGGTTTACAAATACTATATGTAAAGTAGTATGCTAAGAAAACATACTTCTGCTGCTTTGCAATGGCAAAGGAACTGACAAAGAACCTGACTGGCAAATAGAGTAAGATCTGGCATCTGAATGCCAGATTCAACTGGCAATGGGATAGTGGGATGCAACTGAGATATCAAACACTGGCAAAGATGTTGTCAGGCAGCATGAAATATACTTTCACTCAGTTCCTCTTTCGTTTATGCTTTTTTTGGGTCAAGTTACTTGAAGTCATAGCAAGTCCTACAAAATCAAAGCCTATGCAACCACACTAATTCTGACAATCAGGCCACTCAGTAAATTAATTCACACTTAAATTCTCCAGGATTAAAATTCAAAGCTATTTACAAATCAAGCATCCACTCAATCTAACTCACATTTAGACTCCAACCTTGTAGGACTTCTGTAAAATAAAAGAGGGGGTGAAGGTATATTTTGCAGCTGATGAGTTCAGAATGTGTTCTGTTTTACCAAAGCTCTAACTTGCTATGGATATTATATTGTAGGAGATCTTGTATTTATTTCTCCTTCTTTCTACCTTGTCTATTTGGAATAAGCCTTTGAATTTGGGGCAGTTCAGCCTGGAGAAGAGAAGCTGCATGGTGACCTCAGAGCAGCTTCCAGTGTCTGAAGGGTGCCTACAAGGATGCTGGAGGGGAACTCTTCATCAAGGACTGTAGCGACAGGACAAGGGGTGATGGGCTTAAACTCACACAGGGACAGTTCAGGTTAGATACAAGGAAGTAGTTCTTTACTGTGAGGGTGCTGAGGCACTGGAATGGCTTGCCCAGAGAAGTGGTAAATGCCTCATCCCTGGCAGTGTTCAAGGCCAGGTTGGACAGAGCCTTGGGCGACATTGGTCTAGGGTGAGGCATCCCTGCCCATGGTGGTGGGGTTGGAACTGGGTGATCTTAAGGTCCCTTCCAACCCTAACTATTCTACCATTCTATGAGTAGGGAGTGCTGTAGCCTAGCTGCTAGTTATTATAGTGTTAATTTCACTCTTTCGAGGAAGCTGCGACACGGGAATTTATCTTATTTTTTTAATAATAGTTTTAGTGGGGTAAAAGAAGCCAAAAATCCCCACAAACTGGCTAATCACTTCACCATTTACATGGAATATGTGAAAAATCATAGAAATGCAATAAATCTATGTTGCGCTATGATCTATGACAGCTACTTCCAACAACTTTGAAGCACCAGCCCAGATGTGTCTGGATTTCTTCACATGAAAAGAAAGAAATATCCTGCACAGTGGATAAGCCCCTGAAAATGCTTTTCAGACAGGAACAGCCCTCTTAATTCCGAGAGGTAACAATACAACCATAATGCTAGTTGACATCTGCGTACCTCTTAAGAAAACTTACAGACTTCAGGTCAAAACATCAGGTCAGAATGACCACTTCACAGTTCCTTCAGCATGTCATTACCTGTGCAGCAAATCACGAGCTATCTGAGACTGCAACAGGTTCCTTCCGTATTTCAGCAATGCTTGTACACAAATTGTTGTAGAAGCCTGGATCTTGGAACTGTGAAATTACACCCGTTTTCCAGGGATGGATTCATGGACAAACCCATAACTTCCACAGACATGTCAAAGTTATCTAAAATTATCAGGCAGATGAGACTATTGCACTATGTGCCTCTTAGCTTGCCGTTTCCTAACACACAAGTCAACCATCTGCCTGCTTGATTTCCTTTCTTTTTATTCTGGCATAACCATCTTCCTCCCAGGCCTGTCCCCTGGATACACAAATTATGGCACAGAGCTCACAAAAAAGTGCATTTTTTTGCTAGCTTGCTTGCCTCCCCAAGCTAGAAGTTTGTGTTAGTTGAGTGACCACCTACTACAGTTAATATTTACAGCTCCTCAGGAACTATGTGTCATTAATTCCAACATCTAACACAATGATACAGATTGACCTTTAACTAGGGTTTAGATAGATTCTTCTGTAAACAACATAAAAAGCCTTATTTATCTAATTCTTGGTAAATCAACAATGCCATATCCAGTTTTCAGACAGCAGATGTTTAAGACCATTAATTATTTGCATGGAAAACTCTGAAGACAAGAAGTCCTTACTGTATCGAGTCACCCCCTCACTTCCAGTCATACCCCCTGAAGCATTTATCAGAGCTGCTTTATTTATTTTAAATTCAATTTTCTATTATTATTTCTACAATTCTTCCTGTATATTGTGCCTTTCTTTATTAAGTTCTGCATGAGCAGTTTAAAGGAGGCTCTGAGGTTGTAATCCCAAAGCAGGACACACACATTTACAGAGCAATTTCAAATGAAGAAGCTAAGCATTTTGTTTTCCGTGACAGAAAAGCTCTGCGAGGATTCTTAATCTGGCCCCTCTGCAAGTCATTCTTAAGCATTCCCTTCTTCCCATCGTCGCACATTTCGTAACAACACATTTCTTCATCAAAACAGAGCTCAGAAAAAAGTAAGTATATATATATAAAAAAGAGAAATACCATTTGGTATGTCAAATTTCATAACATGGTGATGCCAATAACTAAACTAAAAGATTTTGATTTGTAATGAATTATGCAAGTTTTCAGTTTCTGGTATTGCTTTGCTGAGCAACAGCTATCCAGATGTATATGCCAGATAAATTCAAGATGGTAATTTTAGTTGCATTAAGCATAAATGTGACAAGGACATACTCTGCCATATGTAAGAGCTTGTCAAGGGATCTCCATTTAAAGAATGCACACAAAATCACCCAAAACAATAAAACCCCCTCAGTTGTGGTGACTTACTGAGTGCTAGCACAGGACAGAAGTAAAAACAAAAGACTGCAGACAGTGCAATTTCTTCTCAAAACCAAAACAAACCAACAAGAATTTATGTTTGGAAACTTACTTCATGGATAATTGAGTTATTATTAATAGTAATAATAATAGCAGCTGCCTAATTCACTGGGGCAGAAACCTAAGAAACAGAGGTGTAAGTCTGTAAGATAGAGTTTTATCACTGCCAATGACAGAGAGAGGGACTCTTCATCAGGGACTGTAGCGACAGGACAAGGGGTGATGGCTTCAAAGTGAAACAGGGGAATTTCAGGTTAGATCCGAGGAAGATGTTCTTCCCTGTGAGGGTGCTGAGGCGCTGGCACAGGGTGCCCAGAGAAGTGATAAATGCCCCATCCCTGGCAGTGTTCAAGGCCAGGCTGGACAGAGCCTTGGGCGATATGGTCTAGTGTGAAGTGTCCCTGCCCATGGCAGGGGGTTGAAACTAGATGATCTTAAGGTCCAACCCAAACCGTTCTATGATTCTATAATGGTCAAAAATCAGGATGGATTTTGGTTTTGATTTTAAGTGTTTGCCTTTAAAAAACAAACAAACAAAAAAACCCCCAAACAAACAAAACAAAAAAAAACACAAAAAACCCAAAAACCAAAACACCCCAACTTTAAGCTGTTTGGCTTTCATATAAATCTTTGATAAGATACAAATTAGTGAAATATTTGCTAAATAATAGATAAATTAATTCTATTTTATTACTACTTCTGTTTTATTTTCTGTTTAGTAGATACTGACACAATCATTAAAGAATGAGAAAAACAATTAAATATCATCCTTATTGTGCTCTGAATGAATATGGTTAATTCAAGCATTTCAATTATAGTTACAATGCATGTATGCCAAATCAAAAACGCGACACTCACTGGGACAACCCATTAACTTGGACAGAAAATATCTGATAAGGCAGATGCATCATTAAAATGTGTTTGGTTTGTTTTCACAAGGTAGCAGAAGTCTTGCAAGAGTGCTTGGTGAACTTCCAGATCTTATTAAATATTTATAATTAATCCCTACAAAGTAACATTTCACAATATGTGTTCTAATTAAAGGGACATTGTCAGTTTGAATCTTTTTTTCTAATTTGACCCATCTAAAAACTTCCAATTTTCGTTCAAATCCCATTTAGACTCTAGATCCTACACTTGTGCTTAAAATACTTACATGCCCTATGAAATTTTACAAAGATTCTTCACATGATCAGAAGCACAATATCAAATGCTCTCAGGTTAACACTTCTTGTTCTATTCTAGCAGACTGCTTCGGGGTTTTTTTTACATGAGATTAGTCTCCGCTTTCCTACTGCTCTGGTTATTTCATAGCCCCTTCTTAATTTTTAGAAAGCCTATTTCCAAAAGGCATAAATGTAGCAGGGAACACAACATGTGTTCATGACGGAAATCTAGCATTCAATGGGATTATAGGACTCATTCCTTTGATGTACTCGCTCTTTCTTAACTTCAACTTCTTTTCCTTTTCTTAACTCATAAATCATGATTCTGCTTTCACTAAATTGTATGTGAACAGCTTCCAAGAAAACCAAAGGTTGCATGAGCTAACTGCAAACTGGCACCAATTATTCTAAGCTCTCCTTTACCTATATCGCTAAAAGACTGGAATTTATAGTCAACAACCACAGTTTGGTTCTCCTATGGCCAAGAATCATAGAACTAGAAGGAAAATTATAATTTTGGAACTTGTTTTTACTTATATACTCCATAAAATCCCTCTTTATTGAGAAATGCTGTTATTAAGAGCAAAGAATGTAATTTCTAGATTGTATCTAGATTTTTTAATATGGCCTTTTAATTCAAGAAATTTAACCTTAATATCGACTATCTGAAAACACAGATAAATAAGAAGTAATACCAAGTTCCTCCTTACTTTTTTTTTTTAAAACAATTATGCTGCTACTACAGATGATTTTAAAGACAACTAATGTCATAGGGGACCATAAAAAGTACGGGAAATTGATATTTACAGGCTGTCCTTAAATAAAGAGTAAGTTCAAAGCTCAATTTTCAATGTTTTAAAAAGCCACAGCCCAAATCACTGGTTTAAATCAAAATATTTAGTAAGAACCCCAAGAAAATAATTTCCAGATACATATGGATGGGCATGTCTCAGTATTTTCTCAACTATGCAAGAAACATTTAAAATCAAGTCCAAAATGTTTTAACCCTTCCTTAGACATAGTTTGTAAAACAACTGCATTAAAAGATCTCACTCTTAACTGAAGTCGGAGGCTGCAATCTACAGATGTCCCAACTATCTACAGATGTTCCAAGTATTAAAAGGTAAATCTATGTTAGTGTTTCACCTTGGATTAGTTTTCACCTTGGAGAAAACTCCAAGTTTTCTGCATTTCCTGTGCTTTGGTTCACGTCACAGAGCTGTACTGGGCCACTTGAACTGTTCCTTTTCAAACGAAACTACATTGTAAGCTGAACTCCAGGACAGTGCTGACAGTGCTCCATCTACTAAATGGGTCTGGAGTTCTTAGGACGAGACTAAAACTACTGTAGAGTAAAAATAACACTCTACAAACTGCTACTTGCTACAGCTGGTAGAGCTATAATTTTTATTAGATGCTGACAGTCTAAATTCAAGTTCGCATCTGAAGTGAAAGTGGAATAGTCCTCTAACAAGAAATCAAATCCCTCAACTCACTCGGCACTCCTAATGGTGTGTGGCAGAATGGCTTTTGGTGGAGGGGAGAATGTTATTGTTTCCTTATTTAATACAAACCCCACTATAGAAAGTCTCCCTATAAAAGCCAAGACAACACTAACACACATTCACACACACTCTTCCCCAGGATTAAAACCCCAATTCTGAGGCAGTTCATACAGACGTAAATAGACAAAGGAGAGACTAACATTATTTCCTTCTGTATAGCTTTCCTTGACACACAGGCATCTATATGGTTCCACAGCTGAGTCGCAATTATCAGCATGGCCATGGCAGTTACACCTGAAAGATCAATAGGTAATGAAGAAAAAATTAAAACAGGGGAACACATCTGTCCAACAATATATAACATGGTCACAAAGACAATTTTGTATATTACATAGTCTGGTTCTTTATTAAGAACAAATAAACTCCATCCCTGGCAGTGTTCAAGGCCAGGTTGGATGGAATCTTGGGTGACCTGGTTTAGAGCGTGAAGTGTTCCTGCCCATGGCAGGGAGGTTAGAACTATTCTATGATTCTATGAAAAAGCACCAAAAAGAATGTTCTTAAATGCAGTGGCCTGCAAAAGACTACTCAGCATATTTTTAAGTATCAACAATTGTTTTCCAAGAAAATAAAAAACAGCATGTAGAAGAGCTCCTGTTACCTTATACATGTAAACTATATTTCAGTACCTAACAATATCTAAACTTTGTTAAATAAATGGCAATTCTTCATCAGTATTAAGCATTACAATGTAGCTATAGTTTTTTTCAAGAAATCTTAACCATATCAAGCATATTTTTTAACTTTAACCCATTTTGATCTCAGTTTAAATGTCCATTTCTTACTAAAATAAAACCTTTATAAAGTATAAGTTAGCAGACAATAACCATACCACTCTACCTGAAGGGCTGCTCTTCTAAAGGCACGGCATAGCTTAGCAAACTACAGCTGAAATTATTTTACTGTTACATAGCCACCAAAATTGTAGCTATTTTAGTAAAAGCATTATCACACACATGTAAATCAATAATCAAAACATATTAGTAGTATAGAAAATTTTTAAGATAAACATGACCTAGTGGGTTCCCCTAATAGGGTGCTTTCTCTCAAAATGAGGACTACCAAAATAATTTCAGGAATAATACTTATTAACAAAAATCTGCACCATATGCTTCTTGGAAACTATTTCATTGCCCAATTTGCATAGTATTTACAGGGCATAATTAGTCCTTTCACAAGACAGAACACTTATCGCATACAATAAAGTTGTCAGTCACAGATAATGTAACACTTTTACTGACAGCTGCCCCGTTTTAAGAGGAAAACTACAGCTAAAACAAAGAATGAGCTCTGCATTGAGACTGTTCAAATTGCCAGGTCTGGGAATCTATAATGAAACTTGGAAGAGCTACTGAAGTAAAGTGCAAGCCGTGGTTTCAATCAGAAGCTTTTGCTTAGAGGCATTGGTAATTCCAAGGAAAGGACTGCTTTTGACAGATTTGTGTAATAAGTATAATTAATTTTAAAATAGCATGTGAGCAAATGTTTTTTAAAAAGCCAAAAATTATTACACCAATAATTTCAATCTTAGGCGCTGCTTCAGACCAAATTCCCTTCTCATTCATAAATGTAAAAGCAGAACAACTTCATTAAATTTTAGGCAGGTCATTATATACTTTGCACAGCTGTAACAGTCAGAGGCAGTGATGGGTGGGGGAAGAGTTCTATAACACCTACCTTCCGCTGACTGTAATCTCATTAATTCCATAGTATCTATGCCTAAAATCTACCCAAGACTCATTAGTATGATACTGGCCGTGGAGATGTATCCTCACTTGTGTAGCTTTTACAAACTCTTGGAGAGATGGAGTATTGTAAAAATCATTGTAACCAGGTCGGTGATTTGGTTCCGGGGTAAGAACACTAAAAGTTAGATTGCCACGGGAATACGGTGTAAAGCTGTTTAAACAGAGAGGAAGACAAATGAAAATCAAAATATCACATATCTTACAAACTCTATCTCCTAATATCCTTTCTCTCAGAGGGGGTCTCCATTTAACTGTACCTATTTCTTTTGTGGTTTCCAGGGAAAATGCTCATGTCAGTGGATTCCCAGTCACCAGAATTCAAGCAGGGAAAAAGAAATGTCTTCTATACATGTGGTTTTCCCCAAACTTCCATGCTTTTCTCTATACCCCGAGTTTCCAATTGAGAGTAAAAGCCTCTAAATGGCAACTTCACAGTATTAATAAACTGTGACTGATACAACGTCATCTGCACTATGTTTTCGAACAGTTTAACACAGTGTCTTTGAGAAACATGAACTATGCTTGAACTACGTAAGGAAATCATTCAGATGACTAACATGATAATTAACAAGCCCATGTTGTTAATTATATACCCGTTAACCACATATAAAAAACATACAGAAACAATCATATTTTGAATTCCAGAGTCACTAGACTGCATCATCTCCTTTGATAAGTGATCACTTAGGAACACACACTACCTTTCAGGGAGTCAAGTGCAAGAGAATTTCATTGAAAGCAGTAGGATTGAGAGTAAAATTGTATATTTAAGCCCAAGAAGGGGAAAGACAGTCTTAAGAATTGAAGCAAAGGCTGAGTAAACAAGTATACATGAACTGCTCATTTGCACAATTTGGTATGAATCATATCTCATGTTGGTATATTTACTATGCTATTTTTACAATATTTATCTCAAGTTAATATATACTATTTACAGAGTTTAGCTATTAGTAGAACTTGCTTCTACAAGAGATGAGAATGCACATCTACTGAGGCCATTAAAAACAGATATCCCATTGCATGACCTGGCACCTGACATACAACATTCCAAAAGTCTCTGAACTTTGAAAGCTGAGATTCATAGTCAGACTGTGCCTGCTGAGTCATAATCCTCTGTCTTCATGAAGAACCTTTGAAGGGTCTGTGCCCCTACCCAAGTTAGTGCTTCACAAAAATCTCAGTGGAATAGATCTGTATGTTTTTCTGGGCAATACTGTCCTCTCTTCCCCTCCCCAGAAAGTTAAATAAAGTGTTGTCCTTCCATGACATATGCAGCTGTAATGGAAATGTTAAGACAGGTATGAACGGCAGACAAATGACATCATCTTGGTACGGAAGCACAAGAAGGACCGTAAGGCTGATGGCACCCAAGGTGAGCAAGTGGCTGGTAGCACTTAGTTACCAGCTGGGTTTAAACCACAACAACCTCATTTGGATTGTCTATCCAAAAAGGTTTAGCTTACTTGGAGAGTTCCCTTCTCCTCTACTCTCTGCTTCAAGGATCAGCAATAAAGCTCAATGTCCTTTGCTGAAAACTGGTGTAACTCAGGTGACCTTATGCTTCTCTCCTCAGAATACTGAACTCCCAGAGAACAAAGATGCTGACACTTGAAAAGTCTTAGGAAGGTAGCAAAAGCGAAACAACAAAAAAAAAAAAAGCAAAATGCTTACAGCACCTGATACTCTATTTCCTCACTGATTTCCAGCCAAGTGCTACACAAGCCTGATACTCACTGGCATCTGAATTCAGGTAAGAGAGAGTGCTTTTGAATGCATGTTGCACTATAGATTCAAACATGTGTATGTACATTCTTGCATGTGTGTAAAAAGATAACAATTTATTTTAACTTCAGTTATACACCATATTTATGAAATGTATATGTTATATTTTTAAATTTGCACGTTGCCTAGTAAAAAGGCTCTCAACATGTTCCTAAAAGGCAATGATCCTTCTCACCCTCACCCCCCTCCCTGATTTTATTTTGGTTCTTGCTTAGAAAGATTAGAAAGCTTCAAGAAACAATTTCAACCCATTTATTACATGGTTTGCATGGTTAGTGGTAAGGCTGATAGGATTTTGTACTTAAATTTGGCATTTTTTCTAAGTTTCAGAATAAGTTGCGCTCTCAGAGATCAGAAGGTGTATTTTCACATTCACTAGTTTAAAACAGTCCTTCAGCACCTTCCTCCACTCTTCATCTCAGTGTTCTGTAATTCTGCTGACAACAGCCTCCCCAAAACACGAACATGTAACATTTCAAAAATCTAGCTCAAAAATAACAGAGGAATCAATTGTGTCACATTCCTCAATAGCTGAAATCTGATAAAAATGAGAGATGACCCTTTTGGCAGTCTTCAGTCGAAAGGTCAGATTTGGGATCTATTATATACTCAGTGGCCCATAATAAATGAATATACCAAATTAAAAGATTCTATCTCACTGGGACATAGGAATGAATCGTGCCAGGATGTTACCTGTTCAGAGCATCTGTATTATGCAGATAATACCCACTCATACCTACGAAGCTGGAGACAGTTGACAGAGTCTGGTTTTTCCAGAGATCCATTGTTATCCATTCCAAAAATACTGCAATTTTTAGCAAAATATTGCCAGTCTTCCCAGTTTAGATCATCTCTTTTTTTCCTTTCAATTCTTATTGCTTCTGGATGAGGGCTGAAGAACTGCAGTATAATATAGAATACCTAGAAGAAAACAAATTTATAAACTGATATTAATGGCTAAGTTGTAAAACAATGAGAGTATAACCTTTATTTTTGATGTGGCAATATAGTCTGCTTTACCATTCACAGACAGTAGAATCTACATTTCAGTCCACATACTCCCAATTAAAACCAAAGATCAGAGTCTGTTATATCTGTTCTAGATTACTGGGTTTTTACAACAGCCAACACACATCAAAAGGGAATGACAAGAACAATAATGCATTCTGTTGCCTTTTGTATTGTTTCATGCTGATAAAGGAGGTTTTCTTCCTGGCTCTCTAAGGATAACATCTTAAAGCATAATGTTTTAATTTCCTCAGAATCATAATGAAATGCCTATAAAAGTCTTTTCCTCATTCTGATCTAATAAACAGAAGATGTAATCTTCTCATTACCTGATACTGTCCATTTTGTAAATCTATTGTGATTGAAACACCATGATCCAGATCTGCACTATTAGCAAATACAGATGAAATCCAGGTGGTCCCAATGTCATCATCATTGATGTAGTGCAGAGGATGGGCTTCTGCATCCAGCCTCAGCACTCTGTCATTAGTGGTATCATCTGCACCATTAGGGATGCAGTACCTCTGTATCAACGGGTGTACGCGAGGATGACTTCCAGGACAGCGGCACTCGGATTGGGTATGCAGGTGAGGAAATTTTCCAGAGAATACTTCCAAAATGTCTCTGTCACAGCACATAAAGAAATAATAATTACATACATGATAAAAAAGGGCAAGTGCCACTTTGTGACTCTAGGCTCATAGATTAAACAAAATTCAGCTCAGGAACCCTACAGGCCTGGTTTCATCTCACATAAACGGGGCAATCGGCTGGGAAACAAGCACCCAGGGTCCCTACATAATCAATGGTAACCAGCAAGTATCTTCAGAAGATGTCTGTGAGGAAGCACTCAAGTTGCTTTCATTGCTCCACAGACATATAGGGAGCCAAAGGAAATAAGCTCCTTGTTGGGATGTCTAAAGCTAGGTAGGATGAATCCAGCCCTAGATGAAAGGAGAAAAACTCTTAACATTTTACTACGGTATCATGTCTGACTCAGTGATCCGGACACTGTTCTTAAGCATACCATAGCACTGGCATATTGCTTGTAACCACAGATGAGTTGAATGTCTGCACCAAATCCTCCAAAAAGATCAGCTTGAGCAACACCACATTGCACCTTAGAAAACCAGACAGAAGTATTTCCACTTTTAACTAACTTCAATACAAATGGCCAACTTTTTTAGCTGCCCCAGTCTGTCGGAGCATGTCAAGACACTGAGGCACTTCATTTCATTCTGACATCAGCAGCTAGAATAGATACATAAATGTTTTGTAGGCAGGCAAGCAGATAGATATAAGAACAACATGGGCAGGTTACCTAAACCTTTATTTGCCCATCTCTGGCGTAAGAGAAGGATTCTGTGAGCCTAGAAGATACTGAATTTTTAGATCAAAAAGCTCTTTTCTCATTTTCCTACATTATCAGTAAGAACATAATTTTTGTATGTTTATCAACCAAATAACTGCTTGCTAGCCACCACTACAAATTCCATAAAACCCAAAGTTACAGGACCTTTTAGATAGCCATAGACTTAGTTGATATGCAGGCAATACCTTCCTTCACAGTTTATCCCGGATAAATATTTTGGACCAAGTTACTTGTGGGTACAAAACTACATCTACAGAGACATCATTAGATCGCAACACTTAGTAAAATACCTTAATTTTCAATTGCTAAGCTTTATTCATTTCACTGACCTAAACTGTAGTTCAAAGGATTTGACAAGCGTTGCTCTGAAAGGATACAACCAACAGGATTTTCATATGTCTTGGAATTCAGATTCTTATTAATACTTTAAATTCACAGGAGCTCAGTTCATCCTAATGTCCTGCAGACAGCTGAGCTCTCAGGAAACTGTTCTGCATCTTATTGAAAGACTATCATTAAGTAGCCTCAAGGTCTGCAGTCATGAGTGCCATTGCGCGTAGCCTGCCCAGAAGCACCACGCAGACAAATAGGACCAGACTACTTCTGGCCAGCTTGAATTGAGTAGATTAATCCAGCGTGAGCTGGATAACAAAGGTAACATTTCTTTGTAATGCGCTAAGAAGGGAGGCTGGAGGGCAACAGAAATTGCAGTGGCAACCACAATTTGGCCTCAGGAACGGAGGAAGTCAAAGCAATTGCCCAGGGCTACGTGCAGCTGAGCTGGCCAAGTCATTGGTGGCTTATGGTGACAATCTAATATAGAAAGCAATAAACAGTTAAGACAATAGCACCTTGGGGTAGGGGTGTGTGCATGGGGTGAGGGAAGCATCAAGAATACCTGACACAGATGACTGATACCGTGGGGAAGCTGAAACCAGAGGAAAGGAACTGCTAAAGCACAGTAGCCAGGCTCACAGACACAAAGCCAGCATGCTGCCTATCTGGAGTGCCTGTTCTCTTCATTTAGATCACTGGTATTTGAGTGGTCTAAACTGGACTGGCTATGCTCCCTTCCTCACGCTACAGTTTACATGGGGCTCTGGTAAAGCTTGGCAGATCCCATCCAGCACACACTATTATGCCAGCAATATGCTGAGTTAACACTTAGACAGTTCATAAGCATTGAAACCTAGCAACTGGATCTACTCTCTGCACACACTAAGTCAGGCTGTCACAGGGACAACAATAACATGGAAAAGCGCACACATTCCTGAGTGCCGTGGTTTACTACATATATACTACATACATAGGTTATATTTAAGCAAAAGTTCAAAAGCAAAACATGTTAAAATGTTGAATTTATTTTAACTCGAGATTTTTCAGATTAAAAGGCATCTTTGAAATGAGGTTCAGTAAACTACATCATCATGAGCAACCATCTAAAGGAGACATCTGAAAAGCGCTATACTTTGGGAAATAGGCATATTGTAATCTGTTCTTCCCTCTCACCACACTTTTTTCTTTTTTCAGAAATGAAAGTTCTTTACCTGTTTGTAAGTGCCACTGGGTAAAACCGAAAATCTTGCATTCTTCCAACAAATTGCTCTAAACCTAAGAAAATATACTATAAATAAGTAATCTATTGAGCAGAAGGCAGCTTTGAACTGCATGAGAGCACCTTTAATTCAGCACTCAGATCTCTCTTGCACAATTACCCCTCCTGAATGAAACCATCTTGGACCCGGACAAAACTATAGAGGGCAGTGACTTAATTTTTTTATAAAAAAGAATGATTTATAATAACTTTACGGGAACATTTTGTACCTATCTCTTTTCTGATTAGAGAGGTGGCACAAGGATCGCCTCATTAGACAGAAGTAATGAGCCAGTCCATGTGCCACCTCTAATTAGAGAAGAGATACAGTAGGTACCACTATACCTATCAATTTATACAATAAAGATAAAAAGCATTTAAAGATATTCCTTTTATACATTTACTAGTTATCTGGTACTCAGAATCAAAATCACAAAGAACACTTCCAAATACAAGCCTCAAGAAATGGGGCGCAGAACAACTTTCTTGCCCAAAAGCTCAAGAAAGTTGTTTAAGTGACATATAGATAGGAGTTAGCTTCAAATCAAAACATTCCTGGAGAGCAAGAGTAAGTATTCTTGTATCTGCAGAACCAAGAATTTGTGTAAAGCAACAAAACATCCCCCAGCAGTTCTGCAACGATCATGTCATGCTGTAGTACGTATAAAATTCTAGATGTAGATTAAGAGTAACGTTATCAGACATCTCTAGAGGCTGAGGGATTCTCATTCTGCTACTAGTTTATGTGAGGATTGGATAGAACTGAATATCATGAATAGCCAGAAACTTCAGCTCTGCTCAGGAGAGGAGTGCAGTCTAGTGGCCATGCACAATCCCATTCTGAAATAGGTTCATATATTTACTCAGAAAAGCTATGCTTGTCGTTTAATGGAATGTGTCCCCTTACCTACCTACATTTTGAAGAATGCAAAAAAATCTACCTATATAGAGTAACACATAGAATAAATTACGATCCTACAGGATCATCTACCAAACATCTATCTTACAAGCCAATCTTTTGAGAAAGCTAATTGTACAATAGGAATTTCCTCCTGCAGGAAGACACTACTTCTCAGCATATACTTAACCTGAAACGACTCACACATTTTCTAACCTCATTGAATATTCCAGTGCATTCCACTAAAATGCTACAAGATTTACCTGTGAAGCTTTGTCCAATTTGCAGTGTACCATCAGCATCTGCTACTGGTCCTACAAGAATCCTTGAATCAAAAGGTGTGTTGTCATCTTCCCAGCCATTCAAGAAGAAACTTATTCTGCTGTGATACACCTGTAGAATCAACGTAAAGGGGCAAACACATGCTTCATTAAGCAGTCACTTTGATTTGTCTGCATGCTGTGTCTATCACTGGTTAACTGTTAACACATCAACCTACTTGCTTTGTGAATTTATTTTCGGTGCCTACTAGAAGTAGTTTACTGGAAGTAGTTACCTCTTTTCTGTCCGTCCATTAGCAATCCAGTTAAGATCATCACTGAGATGCATGGAGTATAAAATTTCTACAGTGGTTAGATTAAAGAAAAAACTACAGTACAGTAATCTGGAGGGGCAGGGGAAGAGAGGAGAAGAAGGGTGGGTGTGCTTCACAAGGTACAGGGCTGGTTGCAGCTATGTTACCACTTCAGGCCATAGGCACATGTTACAGCTGTCAGAGCTTTTCTCATACACATCACTTCAAACAGGCCTCAAGGGGCTCATACACCATATACAGGACAACCAAATGCAGCACGTTTCAGCCAGGCCTCTAACACCCCTCCAAAATGCCTCTCTAAACCCAGCATGTTTCTTTCTACAAGGGCTGAAGGGAACAGCATAGGAACTGGCTACATCTGCTTTACACCCAGTGGGTAATTCCTTTACATCAAGGAAACCCTTGACTAGGAATGTGCACTCCGCCAGCACCCCAGGGTACCGTTTTCTGCAAGTGCTCCCTTCCCTGCCAATTCCTTTTAAATTTGAGCTAACGTTCATAGAAATACTTTATGGCATTCTCCTGGCTCCACAAACTCACAAGATGCTGAGCTTTTACAAAGTACTCTTTTTTGTTCGCATTAAAACTCCTCGTGTTTAGGTTACATACACTTAGGGAAAGTTTAATAATATGGGGATGCCTTTCTGCCTTGCATTTTATGAAATTAAATACCCTCATTTAAAAACATACAGGCACATGAAAAAAATTACAACTGGAGGCATCTGGCGGCTATAGTCAGCTTCCCATTAATGAAGTTCAGTACAGAAACTAAGTTCAACTTACCCCAAACTTTTGCACTCTGTTGAATTGTTTTACGGAATAATCTTAAAAGCACTTATTTCATAAAGTGATTCATTTGCAAAACTGAAATTCCTTGATTTTTAGCATGAGCTCGCTTGCATAAGGCTCGTTTTACATGAGAGCTTGGTAGCTTTCAGGTTTTGAAGCATCATTTTGTTGTTGCCAATTTAGAGTGTTATTTTCATTTTGCAGATACGGATGCCTGGTGAATTGTGTCTACAGAGGACCAAATAAAACTAGAGTGCTTTAGCCTGTCTTGATACCCATGCTAATCAAAACAAAATAAACCTGGAATAATTGCTTCCATAAGAACAATATATATGTGAGGACGAACAGAAGGTTTACAAGCCCAAATAATTTATTACAAAGAAGGGAACCAGAACCTGAAAAAACACCAGTTTGAAAAGCACAATATAAGCACTCACAGTGCTATTCCACCAGTAAAGTCCTTTGAATTTCAGACCAAGAAGACACAATTATCTATAAATCTGAGCTCAGATGATCAGCATCAGTGCCTCGGGCAACAGGAGTCTATCAGTATTTTAAGAAAGGAAATATGAAATGAGATGGAGGGGTTTGTTTGGATTATTTTTTACTTAGCCTTCACACAGAATTGGATGGATGGATTTTTCTCCTTAAACTGCACTCTCAAACAAACACATGGACGCTGAGCTTTATTGCCATTTCCAGATTCAGTCAATATTTCCCAAATTTAGACAGGAATATTTATTGCCCTTCCACTGATGGAAATTTGAAGGCTATTATCATAATTACTAAGCCTTGAGATCTGTTCACAAAGTTATTGCATATGAGTTTCACCGCTCAAAATACATCTCTTCATTTTAAATTATCTTTTGTGTTGACACATCAATGACCTAAATACAACAGTTTTTTTATTTAATTTTAATTCAAAGCCCTCTAAACATCTGATGCCCTATTTGCAAGAGCCTAAGTATACGTGTATATGGTGGTTACATTGCATTTTTTTTCTGCATCGCATTTTTTACAGCCTGTTACTGTCATTTGGTGTTTGACTGTTATCATCATAAAAGATACAGGCTTTTCTACTTTGTTATTTGTAGCATTATCTCATGTTTTACAACATCTTTGCACAACATGCCCGCACATGAAATATAACTAGTGAAAAGTTCTCAGTGGTATTAATGCATAAAAAAGAATGTGGTTCCATCTCTACTGTCTTTACCCAGCCAAAAGCTGATGAACAGCCAATTTTCCTTTATCACATTAGCACAGCCATGAGGGAAACACATTTGTTCTAGTCAGCTACACTAAAGATACTATTACCAATCTAACATATACATGTTTTATATCAGCAGTATTCTCAGAGTATGAGGGAGCCAACAATATATTAACACTAGCATGACAGTTTATTTAAGAAAAGAAAATTGTCTCTGTAGAGGGACAGAAGTTAGAAATGTATGGCTAAAGCTCAGTGTCACTGGTCTAATAAAGGTAATAATTCTTAAGCTTTCTTTATAGCAGGTAACACTCCTGTGGCAGCTCTGTCATATCATTCAAATAAAAATGTTGTCTTTTACAAGTTTAGGAGTACCTTTATTTTCAGTCAGATATGAAGCATGTTCCCGCACTCCTCTTTTCAGTGGTAAAACACCTGTAAGTGGAATTCAGAAATGGGAACACTCACCCCCATCAGCTCCTTGCAAACTTACTATCTCAGCTGCAGCTTCTGTAGGACCTGATTCTGCCTCCCCCAGTAGGAAGCAGAGGACTTGCCTTCATGCACCCCCTCCCAAAACCAGGGGGTCTATTTCTGACTGAAGAGTGACAGAATTGGGCTCTAAGTGACCAGGTTTTTTTACTGGTTGAAAATAGGTGACTAACAACAATTTTAAATCTCCCTCCCCCTCCCCCACCACCAATCTCTTTGTATTAAATAGGATTTAGAATAGTTGGGTTTAATATAGCACATCCCCAAGGTAGCCCTAAGCACTTTACAATGCTGAATTGGATATCAGTAGTGCAGTGACTGTGTAAGGCAAAGGCAGCAGTCATTATGCATTTGGCAGTAGCTCAATGTAACGATCCCCCTGCTGGTTATTAAAGGGGGTATGAATATCTGACATGGGAGGAAAATGTAGGAGGGAAACCATGTGTGGTAGGAAAAAAAAAAATCCCAGTGGCTCTCCACAGTGGAAGGAGAGGAATGTCTCAAAGTTTGGTGTCAGTTTAGACTATGCTAAATAAAAAGGAAGGCTGGCACCGAATCAGCTGTTTGATGTGGTTATTTAAGGTCTCCTGACCATGAGCATTAAATTGCATACAATATCACAGAAATAAAAGAAGAATTCCACTCCTAAGACAACAGGATTATTCATTCCCCTGTTGTCTTTATCAATAACAATCAATAGGAATTTGCCCCATGAGAGTAACAGGAGATAGGTATGAAAGGCTGGCCTCATAGTTGTGCAGAGCACAGGACCAGAAGCTTGGGACATCAGCACTCTAATCCCAGCTCTGAAACCATCTCTCCCTCCCTACTTACCCATCTGTCAGATACTTAGCAAATCACCTCACAGGGAGCTGGCAAGGATTAGTTAGTAAGATAAATTCACTCTGCAACTACATTAGCCTTTGCCAATGCAAAGCCTGATACCAGTTCCAAGCAATGGAAAATCCATTTGATGGTGAACTGAGATGGTGAAAGATATCCATAATCCTTCCTCTAACAGCATTCTTGTTATGATCCAGAACAGTTACAAAGATGAGAAGTGCTGGGCCAATGGGCTGATAGACTAGTTCTTTCAGTATATCCCGAATGAAGTCCTTATGGTCCTCTGTCACAAGCGAATGGCCCATCAGAGCCAGCAATACCAAATCAAATCACTTTCTACCTAGGAAAAATTCCCTGCCCTTTGGGTCACTGTAGTGCAGAATGGAGGACAAACTGAACACAAGCTACTGCTCATAAGATGAAATAGGGACAGAAAAGCCATTACAACTGTTTCTTTTCTCACCTTAACATCTGTGTTACTCAGACCCTCCCCATGAAAACATAACAATGAAAACTAACACAGGTTTGCCACTTGGTTTAGATCAGGCAGAGCTGTCATGTAAACAAAAGCCAGTATTTTCATGTATTAATGTATTAATTGCTAACAGAAATTGCCACCAATCTGTGTGGCAGAAAAGCAGCATAACCAAATCACTTCAGAATCGTTGTACTTGCTAAGACTAAGGGACTAACAATGGCAAAAAGCAGAAGCAGGGGAGCGTATAGGAGCATGGTGAGCATGTATGATACTGCTCACGAATACTCTATGAACCTCAAAGCACCTGCAGCTCACAGACTTCATTAGCTATCCATGGTTTCTATATATTTGGTGCCTTTCCATAGATTTCTTCTGTATGATTTTGTATAGCAGCTACTTGTACTTCCTCTAAGGCACCCACTGTATAGATTGATTAAAGAATACCATGGGGTTTTCTTTCACTTTTTAAACCTTGAACTGTAGTATTATCTATAGGTATAATGTATAACAGTATAATAAATGTATAAACAAATAGTAAAACAGGTATAAATAAGCTGTATAACAGGTATAATGAAAATACTCATTTCAATAAAAATTATCAACATGCTTTTCAAAAAAAAAAAAACACTAATATTCTCTTCATTAACACAGAGGCAGAACACATTTTGGGTATCGGGTAAAAGACACAGGTATATTGACTCCCTTTTTTGAGCTACAATAGCATTTTCCAAGCCAAAGCAAATTTGGGGGAATTCTGAGACCCCGATCTACAAAGTTTTGGCTTTCAGCTAATAGCACACACATATATTACATTACAACAAACGTGTGATATCTCGCATATTTAAACAACATACACTTTTTCTTCACACTTTTCATCATCCTGTCATCAAAATGTCCTGCTACGTAAACGCAACTGAGACAATTTCAGCCTCCTCCATGTAAAACTGAATTTTCAGCCAAAACAAATTAAGCGAATTCTTCAGTGG